TTTTAAGTGTAAGCCACCCAAAGTCATTCTGGAGTTCGGCAGCCTCCAAATCAAATAAATAAATAAAAAATAAACGAGCCAACAGCCCCTTAAGGAAAGCAATATGGGCTACACGTTTTGAAAACTGGGAAGAAGAAAGGAAAACTGAGAATCAATCCACAGTTCTTGCATGTTGTGGGTGGTGCAATCAGTCAAAACAAATCCTTGCAAAGACATCAATTAGACACTAATTAATCTTGCACTCAACTTTCTGGCAATGGATTTGTTTGGATATGGTCAGATTCCCATGCGATGAGTTTCCCTAAGAATTCATGCTTACAGATTTGAAGGAGCTCCTAACAAGGTTTTGCATAAGTTCTTTTTGCGACAGCTGCAGAGAGCATCTGGTGGAGCGAACACACACTCAACAGCTCCTGTGCCAGGGGAAAATTGAGCCCCCTGCCATCATGAACATTCTGCTTGATGTTCTTCCCCACACACTGTGTAATTACAGGTATCGACATGCTGCTCATGACTTTTGAGCTTGTTTCTGATCAAATCAGTATTCCACACAGGGGGCTGAACCCAGGTGAGGGGGTGGGGGATTTGCAGGGGAAGATAGAATATATCTCATATACTTTTGCAGCCTTGGAATCGATAGGAGATTATTCAAGAAAAAGGGTAAGGAAGATGGGGGAGGCATTGGAAAAGTGGAGCCTGGAACTCTCAAAGAATAGTTTAAGAAGGTAGATGACTTGGTCACAGACCTTGTACCTGAAGTTGGCTGAGCTCGGTGGCTAATTTTGCAGTTTGATGACCCCAAGTGGCTACCAAACAGAGCAGAGCACCATAACAGGCAGCATTTTCCTGTAGCTTTCCCTGTTCCTTGACCATTTTCCCTTTCTGCATCATTGTCATAGATATGCATCAGGCTACCTTCAGGAACATGTGCAGTCATGCAGCTCCTTCCTTGCCAGTACAGTTCCATGCAGCCTTCATGCAGCTTCATAAGCTGGGCTAAGAGTTGGCTAGACCCAGTTTGCCTCCTGTTCCATGACGTCAGTCAACCAAGTTACTATCTCAATTCACAGTTCACTAATTCACATTTCTGTGAAATCCAGATGGATTAGCTTTGTAGCAACAATCAGAAATTGCCAGGTACTCTACAAGTTGTTGCTAATGAAAGGAAAAATCCATCGCATCCATATGGATATGTTATGCCAGGAAACAAATTAATCCTGAGAAAGGAAAAAGAAAATAGATTCTGGTCCTTAAATAAAGAAGAAACAAAGAATATTTACATACTGCTTTTCACTAGAACCAAAGAATGTGATTTATTCATTTATGACACAATTTTATATTTTGTGGCTTGCAAGCAGAGGCCCCCACAAAAAAATATGGAAAATACAGGCCCCCACAAAAAAATATGGAAAAACATGGAAAATAATTAACCTGCTAATTAATTAACTACACATAGAACACATCATGAATACCCAAATCTCCTACAGCAGGGTTCCCCAACCTCAGCAGATGCTGGCTGGGGATTTCTGGGAGTTGAAGTCCACCCATCTTAAAGTTGCTGAGGTTGAGGAACACTGTCCTACAGAATAGGCAGGACTTAAAGCCATGGAGTTTGTGACCTTAAGTACCGTTGGAGGCAAGGAATTCAAAAGTATGAGCAGACTGACCAAGTAGGGACATTGTTAGACTAGTCTCTCTTCATCTCATATATAGAAGCTCAGCAAGCTTTCCTTACAGAACTCATGGGGCAGAACTTAATCTGCCAGAACAGACTGTCTTATAAATATTCAGAAGCCAAGTCATGTCAGGTTTTAAAGGTAATAAACAGCACTTTGATTGGACCAAGAAGCAAACTGCATCAGGGTGGTGACCGTAGCATATGTGTTACAATGCTAAATGCTACAGCTGGTTAGTAGACAGGCCACTACATGTTGGACCCCCTGAAGTTTCCAGGTCATCTTCCAAAGTAGCCCATGAAGAACACATTGCAGTAGCCTAGATGTGAGAGAAGGATGGTTTAAGTCACTTGTCAGGGCTTCCCAACCCAGATAGAGCCAAAATTGGTTCATCATCTGGGTTCATTTATGTTAGATATACCTGGGATTCTACACTGAAGTATTAAATGCAAGGCATTAAAACAACAATAGAAAGCAGAGAAAATAAGCATAGTGGGAAGAGAAGGAAACACCTCTTGATTAATAAGGGTATATTTCACATGAGCTTCCAGATAATTACATCTTCCACTAGTAGATACCTCTGTAACACTTGTATTTTTTCAAGTCTGTGTTACATTTACATGATTGGTCCACCTGCATATGAAAAGCCCTATACCAAAATCAGGTTGGCCTCAATTAATGGACTGGTGCAAAATGGAGGGAAGGAGAAAGAAGAGGGAAAGAACTGCTGAAGTGAAGAAGAAAAAAATAAAGTAAGGACTAGGAAGTTGAAACTATTGGGAAGAGTGTTAGAAAATCACAGCAGGGCAACACATGATGGAAAATGTTACAGCTGAAAATGGTAGGAAATGCTCCATGCTGCTGCTCACTCATGGGACCAGCTGGCAGGAAATGAGCATTAGTTTCTAGAATTATGATTTCAACTCCCCCAGGAGTTATTGCTGCCAATGGAACTGGACATTTGGAAATCACTTTGCTGTCACTTCATGAATCATATGTCTGTCCTTTGGCATGACTACTGCTCAAAAGCTCTGTAGATGCGTCTGATACCTCTGCCTGGAATAACAGCACCCCTGCTTCCTCCCTCCCTCCTGTTCCATTCCAATTTCTTCCAAAACGGGAGGGAGACTTCCAAACATTTTATCCCTGTTGCAAAGTAATCTCTATTTATAGTGCCAGACCGGTCTCTCATACTTGTAATGCCAAAAGTGATTTATTTCAATCAGCTGAATCCTGTCCCAACATGTACATGAGAGTGGAGTAATTAAGAGAGTGAAAATACAAGGACATCTCCTTTCTTCCAATGCTTCTATCACCAAGTATTATGCTGAGGAACAGAGCAAGTAAACTGCACACAGAGAAATATCCTGACCTGGGCCATAAACGAGTATTTTAGTGGGAATGTCTGCAACCATTCCTGCACCCCTACCACCAGAAAATTGGGTAGGAAGAATTCTGGACTTTGGAGTCCTTGGTGCTCTCTGAGCTTGGTTGTTTGCTTGCAGACATTTCATTACCCAACTAGGTAACATCATCAGTGCACCAATTCTGGACTTGGATGATAATGCCCTACCTTCAATTGTATGCTGCTCCCTTCTCCAACCCAGGGAGCACAACATTCTAATGTGTGACCCACATCTGTTTTCTTTTTCTATATAGTTTGATATCTTGGCCAGCAAAGCAATCATGGCTCTTTTCTTGTTAGGAGAAATTATCAATACCCCTTAAGAAGGGCAGGCCTTGTTAGTGAGAACAACTGCTGGATGGTCCAGTCTTGTAGGTTGGATTAGGCCCATGGGACAGTGATTCCCCATCCCTGATAAAACAGCTAGGTCACCATTTTTTTCCCTCTGCAATTTACCTCTGGACTTTTGTTGTGATGAAGATGTTTTGAAAGAACCAAAAAAGTGCTGATAAGGAGATGGGCATAAAAGATTAATTTCAGCAAAATGAGGCCACCTAAGTACTTTTTGGATTCTGTAGATAGCAGGAGAACATGGCATAGCACTTAGCAGTGATTGTACCCAAAGGCAACTGACTTATAGCAAAGAGGAAAATATGTGGTGTAGTCTTCCTGAGATAGTGCAGAGTTCTAGATTGCAAATGAGCAAATGCCAGTGTCTGCTGAGCCTAGATTCATATTTTCTCCCCTAAAACCAAACAGCAAATGGAGAGGCAAAGGACCAGTTGCAAATAATTTTAAAAGTGAGAGATTCCTAATCTGCTGCTGCTCCAAAGGACTCAACGTTGGATCTGTTATTTAGGTGAGTGCTGGCTGGCTAGGATGATCTGGTTATCCAACCAGTTAGGAGGCAGATTGTGTAACTGGCCATTTAAAAGCCTATTATAAGCTAGGAAGGCAAAATGATAGTATGTCTTTTATAACTCGATGCTTTTTGTAATAGCTATAATGTGGTTGCATGCTGCTGCAATGGCCGGAGCACGGGAGAAACCTTCTAAAGAATGAAGCTGGAGGAAGACAGTAAGAGTGAGGGTGTGTCAAAATCTCCTACCAGTAAGAAAACCTCCTAACTACAACTCTGTTGAGCTGGACTACTGCAAAAAAAAAAAAAGGGGGGGGGAACCAGCCTTGCTCCAATTTCAAATAAAGTGGCATGGAGCCAGAAAGTAACCAATTTAGCTCCACGGAGCAATTGACACCATAATATCAAACTGCTGCCACAATGCCTTGTGTAGCACTGCCTTACGTGGCTTTCCACCTGTGATAAGCTAGACAAGACGTACAAGTATAAAAATAAACCCTCTCCTTTGTGGAGACACAGACGGACAACAGGAGACACAGATCGATGCCTATACTCCAAAACCCAATAAGGAGGAGTTGATGTTATTTTCCTTTAAAGTGCTTTTAAGATTCAGTTAACTTCTTTGATAATTGCTCTGGTGGGCAACGAAGCATAAAGCAACATAAACATTCGCTGCAGATGGGGAAAGGCATTAACAAAAAAAAAGAAGAAAAGAAAAGAGCCCTTTCTGTGGGTTGTCATAATATCGTGGATTCTAGACGGAATGCAGTGTGTTCTGCATTCGGATCCCCTGCTTTGCCACCCAGAAAGGGGAATGTGAATTCTGATCTACCTCAAGGCTGGCTAGCAAAATTCTCCCATACTGCAGTGTTGGGCTTCCAGAAAGGAAACTAGGGGTTTCCAGGGCTTCTCTTGGTGCCCACTACTCTTTCCTTGCCTCACCTGTCTGAGTACATTTTTATAAAGATGATGTTAAGATTAAAAAATATAAATGGGAAGCTGGAATGCGACAAAACAATTTTCTGGGACGTTATCTTTATTTTCACAATTGCTTCTGGCCTCTACCTCAGCATTCTTAGAAAATAAACATGATTGAGAGATACAGCCTAGTTCTCTGTTTGCAACAATGCTGGGCAGTGAAAAGCATTTTCATCAGTCTCCCCCACCCACTCCACAAAATACATGTTTTGTGACTTGTCATACATACAGGTTTTGGCCTTTATTTGTTACGTGAAATTTCAGATTTTTATGATTAGCACTACTTCCATGCTTTGAACAGGATACAGGCACTAAAATATTTCTCATAACTTACATTTATGTCCTTAGTATCAGTGCACTTGGCACCGATTGGCAAAGCATTATTTATCTAAGCTTTAGCACATCAGGTTGATGATAATAATGGCACAGGAGCATGTACCTCTAGTTTATTTCTAGTCAAAGCAGAACACCCTCCTTTAAAAATTTATTAGCCCGTCTCTGGCTATACCAGCATCTGTACAGAGGTTGAAAGACCAATTATAGATCTGCTCTATCAATAATGTTAGCTGCTTGCAACAAATCATAGCAAAGTGACCAAGTTTGATCAGGCAACAAATCAGCTATTGGATTTCACCTGACCTTCTGTGATCTATGTGTGAGCCAAAGGTTCTCAAGTTCTGAAAATGAAGCACGGTCAGTATCTGAGTTTATGGCTCAAAAGTTTCAGTGCTGTCAGCTACTAATTAATTACCACACTGACCACATTTTTTTCTTAGCCATAGATCACAGGTTTCTGATCTCCAAAGAAACCCAAACCAAATTTTTTTAAAACCATTGCCTTCATAAGGAAATGGGTTTATTGACTGTATCTTATGTACAAAGGATTATCGTGTATACATAGATGTGTGCCCATGAAAAATAGCTCAATATGGATGGAGCTAACATTGTTTCCATGTAGCAAACTTTGGAGAAATTTCTCAATTTGTCATCATCTCTCATTTAAGTACAGAGCCACTGCTAACAGATGAGAGGCATACATACTGAAGTGAGTGTCACCAATTGTACAGAGGTTGTGTGTGTGGGTGCGGTAAACTGACCAATTGGAATGGCTTGGAAAATAGTTACAAATGGAAATTTGATTGACTTCCAGAATTGGACCAACTGGAAGAGAAACCATTCAGATGCTTAATATCTGCAGGTCAGACTGCAGTGGAAGGCCAGAAGTAGGGATAATAAAAAGCAAATTAGTAAATTGGCAACTTTGCAAAGATCATCTTATTTGCATGAAGATGCCGAAGACAAGCGTGCTTTCTGTGATTTTGCTTCATGGTGGACAATTAGGAATGTACAAGTTAGAGATATAATAGATATATGATATGTGCTTAGTTCATATTTTCATACAGACATATCCATTTTTTATTTCCAGCCAATACACAGAACGAAACAGCTACCCTTTGGCGTTTGCAGTTTTCCAAATGTTACAATGCAGTTCTGTTAAAAAAAAAAAAAAAAGCATAGAAAATGCAATAGCAAATACAGTGCATGCAGAAATGTGTATCTTGGTGGAAGTGCATGGAAAATATACTTATAGGGAAATGTTCTTGCTAAAATGTGTGCATATTAGACAACATTTGTAAAATGCATACATTAGAATACAAAATGTTTATGCATTTTCATGGAATTTTTTAAAAATGACCAGAAACACAATGTAGTATTACATCCAGAAAAATTAGAAATTGGAAGAAACCAAAACATATCAATTTGGTTAGAAGGGAGGAACCTTCTACATGGAAGACTTCTGTGAAGGGAATGCTGATGGGACAGAGTTCCCATCCCAGCTGTAGAATTCCTATCAAATGAATGAATGAATGAATGAATGAATGAATGAATGAATGAATGAATGAATGAATGACTTTATCACAGTCATAAAGTCACCAAGCACCTACACATATTGAAATCCCTTTCCTTCCTCCAAGTAAACTAAGCACATAGTTTACTAAGCACATGGATCATAGATAAAGGAGATTAGTTTGGTTTCATATAGTCCCACTTTCTCCTTCATCTCCTACCCAGAGATCCCCATTGCCTGAATAGGTTAATGGTCCCACTGAAATTTTCTCTTTTTGGTTGATGAATTTGATAGCTCAGGATTACGAGCATAGCCATGCGACATCTGTGATCTTAATATGTTCATTTAGCTCTATCTACATCTCACTAAACATGCAAAATAGCTCAGTGGAAACAACCAACTGATGGGCAGGTGAGGTTTCTTTTATCCCATTCCTATGACCACCCATTCAACCCTTTTGTCTATCTCACCTCCTCCAGTTAATCAATCTTGACTTCCAGTAGTCCCTACACATCTAGCTGGGGAAGGAGGAAGCTAAGGCAAGGAGAAGTTGCACTGGACACAGGGAAATGTGATAAAGATATCACATTTTCCCAGGCTGGAAACTCTTGGGGAAAATGTGGACTGGGAAGAACATGAACTGCCCCATCTAATTATTCTTCAGAAACTTATTGAGTTATTACATGTGATAAAAAGCAAACAATATTAAAATGCCTTGATTTTCTTACTTTCAAGTACTACTTACTTGCTCTCAGATAAGTGAAGATAAAATTTTATCTTCATCTCAAATAAATCTAAAAGCAGCCTACTGCATCTTTCCCTTGTTCCTCTGCAATCTGAAATAGCACCATGCAAACTGGTAACTTCATATAAAATTCCCTGCTATTGGGATATATTATTTAAAGCTAAGCTGAAAGTAGGGGTATCAGTGGGAAAGTTTGAAAAAGTCAAAATGGTGACCACAAACACACTCATGAAACCCCACCCCTTTTTTGCATGCATCACTTGGGCAACACATGGGAAAAGTGGGCAAGGCTTCAATTATGTAACTATGGTCATCATCTCGACTTTTTTTTAATACTCTCCGCAGACATCTTTGTTGAAAAGTCAAATTCACAAGCACTATTACAGCAAGGGACAATGACTTGAGTTGTATATACCAGTGTTTCTCAATCTTGGCAACTTTAAGATGTGTGGACTTCAGTTGACATGCTGACTGGGGAATTCTGGGAGTTGAAGTCCACACATCTTAAAATGGCCAAGGTTGAGAAACACTGGTATATAGAGTTTCTTGGAAACTGTGCATTGCTTGGGACACAGGACATTTCCGAATACAGATGCAAAGAACTGTTCAGGAAGCCTCAGGTCTGATGATCTTGTAAGAGAAACAAAGTATTCTGTCACTTTGTAAGAATACTAAGTGCCATGGGAGAAATTCTGAGGACATTCATACTGCATCAGAGCATATTAAACTGTCTTTTAAAAAAATAGAGCAGTCATACAAGAAACAAAGGCAGACAAACCAGCCCGCTCTGCACAACTCTTGCTCTTCTGGCTGATTGTAAATTTCATTTCTTATTCTTACTTTTGTGTTATAAATCATATGCAAGTTTTTGCATCACTGTGCTAAGGTAGTGTCCAGGAGTGGGTCATTCTCAAGTTTGTTATTTCCAATGCATATCCAACACACACTAAGGTAATTTTGGCATTTCATTTTACAGCAGTTCCCACTCAATTCACATTTTTTTTTCTAGTTTTCCAACAACTCAAGGATGTTCATGTGGAGCACTGTCAGATGAGGTATATTCAAACTGAAAGACTGTCAGCCTTTCAGTGCCAGTCTTTTCTCCAAGAGAGAAGGGAGAGAGTGTGAAGGAAGGATCTCACAAAATTATTTTGCTTCTAATTTGCCATCTTTCCCTCCTCTGGGCTGTCATGAAGCGGGAGAGGCTGTTCAATCAATTTTAATTTAGAAAGTCCAAACAGATTGGTGTGATATTTGTTGAAAGAAGCCCTCACTTTAGCAGATTTATGTAAACTGTTGAGAACAACAGAAAAAAGTAATCCATCAAACTTGTCCAAGAGGCATTCATCCTGCTGTTACAGAGTACGCTTTTGGCTAAAATGAATTAGCTTTCATAATCTAAGAGCTTCTTGGATTAGGGTTTTCACAGAATTCGTAACATTGCAACAAAGAGTGGAGGTAGCAGTGGAAGAATGTTTTAAAAAATGAACGATGCCTAGGTTGGCCAGCTTCAACGGATGGTTTTCAGGCAACCTTATCATGCTGACTACTTAACTCTTACAAACAGAACACGATACAGTTCAATGATAGAGTGTACGTGCAGCATTCACAAAGCAACAAGTTCGTTCTCCAACACGGTCAGTGGAAAGGGTTTCATGGAGATCCTGAGCTATGATCCTCACCCTGACAATTTCACAGCTGCTCTTGTACTGATGGAAAAGCAATTGTTGGTCCTGTTCCATCCTGGAATCAGTTGTTAGCAAGTACAAAAAGAAGTTGCTAACATCTTAAGAGAGTAAGGAAGACCTCAGGGGAAACTCAGCCTGGATATAAGCAGAAGTCTCCAGAAATATGAAGAGACCCTTCCAGAATGTAAACAAGCTCTAGAAGTTGGTTTCCTTCTCCGTCATGACAACCACTTCCTTGACTGGCTGCTGGGATCCCAGTTCAGAGCATTCCCATCCAGAACTGCCAATCAGATGCTTCTTTGGCTGGGGCAAGTCTTCTGATGGAGCAGTGAGCTGGCATAATCGCTGTGGAAAGACAAGGAGAAGAGTAGGCAGTATCTCTGCTAACTAAACTATCAGACAAATTGACACCCAAATTAATCTGCCTCAGTTGTGATGGACAAAGGCAACCCAAAAGCCCATCCATTATATTTCATAAGGCAGGTTTATTGGAATATACATTTAAAAGAGCAGATGGGAAATGGCTTAATGCTTTGTGCTATTTTGCTTTTAGGTTCACTGTTTGTTGACATATTATGGCACATAATAAAATACCCAGCAATGCTTACAGTAGAGATGATTTAATGGATTGCATACTTATCAAAGTACTGGATTAGGAAAAAAAGCACACTTATTTATTGTGGCAGTCAGGGATGAGAATTTCACTTTCCTTAAGGCACTCATTTTTTTTTTCAATCTTAAATTTGTTTTGTCCCATTCCTATAAGAATTTGCTTCTTCATTTTTACTTCCCATGAGAATATGCACATGTTGTCACTGTCATTTCTCCAGTATATGCACATTCATGCAATTATGGCTGAGTAGATATTTTTACATTCAAATTTTAATCAGAGAACAACGTTATAAAGCTTGCAATATCATTGTTTTCTAGTTCACGTATTGGTTTAAGAAGTGAAAATTAGATAAATGTGCATTTAAATACACAATAAACTAGCTTTTCTTCCATACCCATGAGGGGGAAGGTTTCATAAGTCAGAATCCTATGTGAATATTTCTGCCTGTACTCTCAATAGTTTTGTAATCAACAACTTCAATCTTTTCTTTTCATAACGGTCTAATGAATGAATCAAACATAGTTTCACAGCCTGGAGACCCAAGTGGGCCATAGCACTTCATGAGGCCTTCAGCTTAATTTCAAAAGCCCTCTGCAAAAATCAGCTCAGACCCCTGGTAAATGCTATAGATTCATTCCCTGCTAGGCTCAACCTTTCTGAACTTCCTTTATCTGATTCTCTTCCACCTTCACCCAGCACTAGTCATTTGAGAAATGAGTGTATGAAGATACTCATACAATGTTGCATGCAGCTATCAGCGTCTTCTGAGAACCATCTGTTCTTAGGGTACTAATACAACAGTGGCATTACAAGATTAGAATCTCCTCAGAGAGTTCGTTGTGAAGATGGGAGGGGAGGACCATGTTGCCTTTTGGAAGATAATGTGGTAAAAATAGTAAATAAAATTAAGGAAGCTATTTTGCTATGAGTTGCTCAATTTAATTCAGAGGTCCTCCTGTCACTCTGCTCATTCAGATTTCTACCCACTTGAGATCAAATTTTCTCTGTGTAGGAGCACAAAATATTGTCCTCTTCTTAGAAAGGTTAACACAAGACATCTTAGTTTTCACAACTCCTGATGTTTTCTAAGAGATGCTCTTTACATTTAAACCAAGGCTTTATCATGTGACAAGTTACCAGATGGATGTGGTAAGGCCACCTCCAACACAGATTGCTGTACTCCCAGGAGTTTTATGTATTGAAGAGTATGGCTGCTCTCTACAGCATTTCAACATCATTTTTGTAAAATGTTCATTATGTTCCCCAGAATGGTTGCGCAAGTGGAAATGTTAGTAGCTATAGTAATAATATTATTTGTTTATAGCACCCAACTTGAGCACTATAATCAAAACCCTAGAGGTGGCTAGAATGTTTTTTAAGGTACTTGGATAGTAAAATGTTCATTTTCCTATTGTGAGACACAGGTAGCATCAACAATTAAACCAAACATTGGTCTGAAGAGTAAAACTGGTGTTGACTGTGCTTTTCCGTGTGGAAGTAATTTAAAAAATTTCTACTTCTGCTACTGTTAATTAACTGATTTTCTCACTATACTGTTCTGTATCTCTACTTTTCTATTAAATGATGTGCAAAATTTACTCTAGGTCAAATGGATTTTTAAAATTATTATATAATAACTGCTGTGTTTTTTAACGTTTGCTCCAGCTGTTTATGTTAATTATATTCTGTGTTGTTTGTTTTGGCCTTTGGCAAAAACAATAAACTGAATTTCAAAAGCTACCCCAATGTAAATTAGGTTTTGCCCTCACCTTCTTCATTTAGTGTTGTTACAGTCTATTTTTATTACATTAAACTCAATTCATACTAAAGCCATGCTGTTCTACAATCAGACTGAAGTGATTCTACCCAGGATTTAATACAAACACTGTTTTCCCCATTATAATCCATAATTCCCATTTGCAGAGCAAAAGAGGGTGGGGAATGCCTCTCCCTGATAGGTAACATAGGGACAAGTCCAATTGCTATATTGATCTTTTTAAAAAATGTAATACAAGAATACAGGTTTGTTCTAGATCAGACTTCCTCAATCTGTATATCCCCTAGAGCAGTGTTTCTCAACCTTAACAACTTTAAGATGGGTGGACTTCAACTCCCAGAATTCCCC